GCACCATATACTATATAATTGAAGTTTCACGTGGAGAAAAAACAGGTTTGGCTATACATGATTTTGGAATAAGAATGTTCCAGTCCTTGACTAAATATGGTAAATTCAAAATACGGTGGATTGATATCCATCCATCTATTGACTGGCTTTCAGAATGTCTAAAAATACTCCATGTCAACAAATCATTAAAAATGCAATTGAAGTGTAGTTGTGCAAAATAAAATGCCATTTTTATTCCAGCAAAGAATTTATCACTCAGCATAAGTCAGTCGTAAATATGCCACTGCCAAGCATTCCTTAAGTTAATGTAGTACGCCAAACTTTTACAGCATTTGTTGGGTTATTTTTTTACTTACAACAATCAGGTTTTAATATAAGCTGATTGAAGGAACATGGTAAATTCATAGGGGCCCTTAAAAGATTTTATAGTGCCACACTAAAGAGCATATGAAAGAGGAAGGGGGAGATTTTGTAGAGCTCTAGATCAGGGATCTTAATAAAATTTAGAAACAGTGCATAAAGAGGCAGAGGGGGTCTCTTGGCTTTGAAATAAATTAAATGTAGGACAATATAGCTGCCAAATGGCAGAGGCTCATAGACTTCGAACCCCAATCAAGAAACTACCAGTTCAATAAATAACAGCCTAATCAAGGAAACAACAAGAAGACTCCCACAAACAATTGATAGGGCAAACCATCTGTATAGAAGCAAAGAGCAAACAACACTCCTTTCTAGCACTGATGATGTTATCCAGCTGGGTAATGAAATGTCTGCAAAAAAACAAATAAACTCAGAGAGCACCAAGGACCCTACAGTTTAACCCTGAACAACCAATATTTTCTTCTACTGGCATAGATTGTCTGTACATTATCCACCTATATCATATATTATATTTGGAGCATAGGTTCTCACATATTGTATTAAGCTACAATGTGTTTAGCGATGGGGTATCTGTTGTGGCCCAGCAGGAGCCGTTGGAGCTGCCACCAGACTCCGACAGCAAGGGGCCCTATGAGTCAGCTCTGGAGGATGTGGGGGACCCTGGACAGGGTTCCTATTCTGAGCAGGGCGCAGAGAGGCTGGTTGGCCACCAGGAGGCACCTGAGCCTTGGACCAGTGGGGAGGAGACAAGGGAGTGCGATCCTGACGTCAGCAGTGAGTTGTTCCTGGATGCCCGGCACTGAAGAGCTACTAGGCATCAGGAACAGTTGTGCAAGTACTGGAGGTAATTGCACTCAGCTGGTGGTAATTAGGCTCCTCTCCAGACTATAAAAGGACTGCTTGTGCACACACCCTTTTGCAGAAGTCAATGCAGGAACTAATGTCGGAGAACATTATTGTGAGCTTGGTAGGCTGTATTGCTGCCACGGCTTATCTGTGTTGGATTGCTGCCAAGGCTAATCTGTGTTGGATTGCTGCCAAGGACCTGTCTATCTGTTAATTAAATGCCGTAACTTATCGTTGGCTCGGAGTGTGTGTTGGTGTGGGACGAGGGGGGTCAGAACAGGTTTGTATAATATTCAAATCTCTATTGCCCCATGAATTTCACATAATGATTTTGGACCAGCCACTCTTTCAGTGCAATCGACTCACAGAGTTGTTACTGAGGGAATAAAAGGATGGAGGGGGAAAGACCTGTGTAATTTACTTTTCAATTGAGCTTTCAAATAGTTGAATATACATGTTGCAATTATATATGATATTACATTGGATTGTAATGTCATATATAATCAAGGAACATATTCCTGCTCATATCCCTCTAATATATAATATCCAAAAGCCTAGACAAAATTGGCTACAAGGCACTTCATCAGGATAATGGCTAATTTGTATCAGTGATGTGTTGACTAGGGGAGGAGAGCTAGCAAAGGGATGACAGAAATCAGCTCAATAGATTATGCTTCACTGCACTATTTCTCAAAAATGTCAAATGTCAAACTATGGAGCACCACCCTGGAGCACCACCCTGCATTAGTAAAAGGATAGGATTTAGTTTAATCGTTTGTAGCATCCTTTCCATTACAGAATTAGACAGATACAATTCAAAGTTAAAAAATGCTAAAGGAAATTCCAGAGTTGACTCTAAGGGAATGAGTTTAAATATTTATTTGTGCCAGTACTGGCACAGTTATTTCATGCAGTTCAGAAGCATTGAAGACAGAGGTGGCAGAGAGAGATTGTGTTATATCTAATTCCTAAAAAAAGCCATGAGTTTACCAGCCCTGGGTTGTCAAGTAAGCCACATAGATGATTCATGTGTCTTGGTTCTTAGAAAATGGCTTTGCAGAATTTTATCAAAGAATATTACATGGCTGATGGACTGGCAAATAGTTTATCCATTTCCTATCAGCAAGGAAATGAGAATGGGTAAGAAATAGAATATCGAATGAGCTGTTTCCACTGATCTGATGTCAAGACTGTAGTATAAGCATTTTCCTTTAAGCATCCAAAAAAAGGTAATTTTGAGTGGGAAAAGGTGAATTTTGCCTGTTTCATACATATATGAAATTTTAATTTCCATCATATAGTACAAGTCCATGCATTCTACTTTCATGTTGTTTTAATTTATTTATTTAGGATATTTTTTTTTCATTTTTTAATGGGTGCCAGTGTGTTCACAATAAAAAGTGACATTATTATTATATAATGCATCTGTAAAGTAGACCCAACAGCTTATAACATGATTTCCAGAAGTGTTTCTGATTAAACATTTTCAAGCCCAAACTATTAACTGAGCTAAAAATAAACACCAATGCTTATATTCTCTTTTGGAAACTGTGGAATCACAGACGCCAAGAGACTACAGTTTAAAATTTGAGGCACAGGAAATACATGGAAAACTGAGCTGGGCTCCTTTACTCCTTTACTCAAGGAGTTTGTAGCTTGGTTAGCCAGCAGGAGCTAAAATCTTCATTCAACCTACATGAAAATACTTAAGTAAATCTTTGATGAAAAAAACTGTTCCGTTATCCCAGGAAGCTTGGAAGAAGTAATAAAGATGAAAGGAGAGAACCCAAGTATTATGTATGCAATATTTGGTTTCTTGTCATTGAGAAATTTTAATGTTCCCCAGAGTGAAGTCCAACCTGGAGCCAATGCTCACAACTAAATCCCATTGAGAGGAGGGTGGCAAGTGTAGTTACCACCATCATCCAATGATACTTTTGTGTGGGGTTTTTGCTGAAGGAATCCCTTGAATCGAGGCCCTGTTCTATACCTTTCACCATCTGACCAACAGATGCCAAGTAGTAAGCTGGACAAAAATAGGTTTTCTGGCACAAATCTGTTTTGTTTCCTTTGGAATTGTACCATTCTACTCCTCGTAGCAATAATTAATGCCTGTCTCCTCTTGCTACAGTTCATAAGTGGCTCTGCTCCCCTTCAGTAACAAGAAAAATGCTCTTTTGCACTGTGATGCCAGATGAATTGGTGTTTAAGTATCCCTGAAATGTTGCAAATAATGAATCAGAGATCATCTTTTCTTGTCTCTTCCCTGGCAAAGGACTATTTTACAAGTCTATCCCTTAAAATAAACATCATTTATCCTTGTAAGTGACACTATGCACAAGCCCCGAAAAGAGAAGTTTAACTCTTCACCAAAGCCTGTGAGTTTGGTTTAAAAGATTTTTCAATGCATTTGATACAAAGAAAAATGGAAATTATGGAAATAGTATTCAGCTGTAAAGATTCTGAGTACTAATCTGCAAGCGTTTTGTTTAGTTCTAATGCCTTCCTTGGTGCTATCAAGATCCTATTAAAATTAAACATTGTGATTTTCAGGGGGTGGGGAAATCAACTTGAAAAAGGGCATAGACTATAAAAAGATGGAGGAGTTGTTTCAAGGGATCTGCCTACTTTCTAATTTTTTCCTGAGGCCTTCCACGTTTTCTTGATGCCATGCAGGCCTACACGTTCCATGTGGTACTCTCAGCCCTCCAAATCTAGGCATTTGTAGCTTCAGCTTCTTCGATCATGATCTGCAAGTTCTCAGACTTAAAACTCATTCAATTTTGTTTCACCCTTTCAAAAGCAACTCAACTGGCTGTTGCACACTTTGTGCTCCAAAACCCTGAGAACAATACATGATGACAAAGCACTGCTCTTAGGAACACTGTAGAAAAACATCCCACCTTCCTTTTTAATATATCAAATGTCACTTCAATTCTGCCTTAATTGAGGAAGGAGCAATATATTTTTGGAAGAGAGCCATGACTCTTCCGTCTCTGCCAATTTCTAGTAATGTATTTTTTTTGCTGGAGATTTTGGTCCCCTAGCAACTTGATTGCCACAAAGAATTGTGAGGCCTTATTTGATTTGGTATACAGATAGTCCTTGCTTAATAACTGCCTTGTTCGGCAACTGTTCACAGTAATGAAAAAGTAACTTGGTAACCAATCCTCCCATTTATGACCTTCATAGGTTTATAAAACAAAGGAAATTGAAGTATCATTGTAAGCACAGTTCTGATTTCACTTAATACAATTTCATATTAAAACCAAATTGCCAGTCCCAACTGTGGTTGCTAAGCAAGTACTACCTATATGGTGTTCATCTTCCCTTCAAGTATCAGAGAAAAGTGATGTAGGTGTATGTAGGGGTTTATGAGAGTTCCACTTCTTGGAGGTGACGGATTTCTCTATTTTTACAGTGCATATTCTGTGGTATTTTCATTAACCACCAGCAAGTACTCTGTGAATATCTGAAGTTGTGTGAAAAGTTGTGAAGTAAAATTTAAAGCTTGATGGCTAATTAACACACTACCATTCAATTCCTTGCTTTCCTTCAGACTGAGAACTTTTTTCAGAAACTGTAATAAGACACTGAAAGAGACATGTATAAAATATAATAAAATTGATCCTTTGTCAATCATGTAAACAATCAAATAAATAATATATAAGTAAGCTACCAACTCAAGAAATAGACTATATCTGTGATGGCAAACCTGTGGCACACAGAGCCATCTCTCCGGGCACGCAAGCTGTCTCCCGTTGCTCTTCCAGGTTCCAACATGCCTCGGGCTTAAGTTTATCTGCTACATCACCGGAGACAACAGTGGAGGCACTACCCAGGAGTGCAATGGGAGGATCTACGGTCGGTAACTGAAGGGCCTTAGAAAATGCCTACTCCATATTGTAGAAGCGACGGTCATTGCTTCCTGGATTGGGTAAGGAAGACGGACGGGACCATTGGTTCTGAACTACCTCCAGAAAAAGGGGTGGAGATGGTACCTCCTCCTTATCTGTATTTGGATTAATAAACATAGCGAGGTAGGGGTCCCTCTGTTGAGAGACTGATGGGGGCCCCATGCCAATCTGAGTAGTCTTCTTGGCCTTGTGCAATAGGGGCTTGAAGGCCGGAGGTGTAAAGAGGCCTGAGAATCTGGATGGATAGCCTCCTCGTCATCTGAGAAGCCTAATTCTGGATGACCATCCTCCCCCAATGCAGAGGCCTCACTGACCACTGATGGGGAATGAGCCCTGGCCTGGCCTAGGCCCCAGTCTGGGGAAGGAGACCTGTGGCGCCTATTATCAGAGAGGGCTCTAGAAGCTCTTTGGGATGACTGGTCCCTTTGGACTAACCCTGATGTGATTCCTCTAGAGATTGCTGAGGCGATAAGCCTCCTGATGCTCTCAGGTAGGAGGTCTAAATCCTCCAGGTCCTCCTCTGAAGGTCTCATGGCAGATGGGCTTTGTGGGGCTAGGAGGGAGGTAGGTAGATAATCCCCGGATCCCCTATCTGAAGGCTCGCCACCCCCACCCCTAAATGAACTAGGGGAAATAGGGGGAGAAGGTGAGGTCACTTGCCTGCCACGTCTGGCTGGGGAGACTGAAGGAGACAAAGGACTGAACCCCCTAGGAAGAGAGGGAGAGGGGGAAGGAATGGGCCTCACCGGAGACCTGGATCTGTCTGGAGAAGTGGGTCGAACATGGTGAGATAGTTTCTCAGCCCCGGCCACTCTCGTCTCCAAGGCCTTCTGTCTACGGAGCTCATCTCTCACTTTGGCCCTGGAGGGGCGCTGATCTGCAGATGGCTTAGAAGTTATCACCCTAGGCCTCAACCTGGCCTGGCCTTCCTCTCTCTCCTCCCCATTGCTCCCTTCATGGGCCTGCGCCACCCCAGTGCTTGTAGAGGCCATGCCTCACTCATGTGGCTGGTCTGTTTGGAAGTCGAACCAGAGCCTTTTCGGCCTCAATATGCGGTTGTGCTGCCAGTCAGAAGAGCTCTTGCCACTGATCACAATGTAGGCCTTGCCCGTGTGGAGGTTGGTGCCACAAGGTCGCTCCAAAATGGCCACCGCGCCTTGTGGTGAAGGAGATAGAGGCCACCCGGTAAGTTGACTCTGAGGTGGAAGCCTCTCAGCGAGTCAGTTATTAGTACTGCTCCCACTTGCTTTGGCTGTGTGGCCGCGCTGCCACACAGGCTTCCGAAGCACTCTTAGGAGTTGCGTTCGGCGAGGCTAGAATGACACGCCCAATTTCCTCTGCCGCGGCAAGCTGTCAAGGTGTGGCGGCTTTGGGGCGCATCTGGGATAATCCCGGCGATGCGACTCGCAACTCGCGTTCCATCATCTTGCCTACCTTGTCGCCTTAAAGCCTCTAGCAATCTTGGCTGTGAATGGGAGCTCGTCACCCCTGCACGCCCAGGAGTCGGACAAGTCCCTTTGGCCCAGAAGCAATGGGAGCCCTGCCTCCTTATGAGACTGACTAGCAGACTCGATGGCCGGCAGTCAAAAATTTAGCAATTTAGAGTAACCAATTTATCAAATTAAAATAGTAATTATTAGTATCTCAAGGAGCCAAAAACCAGTGCTTGGACCAGGAGACTGAGAGGAAACTGGGAGCCAATAGGGAAGGATGGTGACTTTAAGAANTTTTCTCCTTGATTAGTTTCTATCCACTTTTTCTTGTCTTGCCTTTTGATGCTTTGGAAAACAGTGTGACACCCCCCCCTCATTTTTGTAGGAGCCACTCAAATATTAAATATTATTAAAATATTAGTAAAATTAAGTAAAAAAATCAGTAAACATTAATAACTAATAAGGTATATTATTAAAAATGGGAATGTGACAAAATATTTGTCCATAGAAAGATTCAAATATCTAGGAATGCTCAAATAAGATAACACTTTGTATAATGTAAATAAAACTACAGTTGTATATATTTAGTGCAAAACAATTAGTGCAGATACCAAGAGAAGAGAATATTTGCAGTTGAGGGTTGAGCTATTGGGGCCCTTGGTGCTCTCTGAGCTTGATTGTTTGGTTGAGCACTGGTGATGTTACTTAGTTGGGTAATGAAATGTCTTCAGAAAATCAACCAAACTCAAAGAGCACCCAAGATCCATAAATAATGCAGTTTGTATTTCTTGTGAATAGAGCATACTTCTACCATAACCAGGTGATGTGGTGGCTCAGTGGCTTTACACACTGAATTTATCGATCAGAAGGTCATCAGTTCGACGGTTCAAATCCCTAGCGCTGCCTAATGGAGTGAGCTCCCGTTACTTGTACCAGCTTCTGCCAATCTAGCAGTTCGAAAGGACATTAAAAATACCAGTAGAAAAATAGGAACCACCTTTGGTGGAAAGATAACGGTGTTCCGTGCACCTTCAGCATTTAGTCATGCTGGCCACATGACCATGGAGACGTCTTTGGACAGCGCTGGCTCTTCGGCTTAGAAACTGAGATGAGCACTGCCCTCTAGAGTCGGGAACGACTAACAACCTTTACTTTACCATAACCAGATATCACAAAATTCTAAGCAATCATGCCTGAGTAATATTTTATTTTTCTTCCTAATCCCAGTTCCTTGTAGATTAACTATTCTGGGAAATTTCCTGGCTGCAGGGTACTAAATTTAACTAAATCTTGGTAAATGAATATGAATATGAGCCGAGGTGGCGCAGTGGTTAAATGCAGCACTGCAGGCTACTGCTAGATCAGCAGTTCAGCGGTTCAAATCTCACCGGCTCAGGGTTGNAAGATTTTGAAAAGCTGTCCTTGTTCCTATCCTCACTGACTCTTGCTAGACCGTAGTGCTGCACAGAGCTTCAACTATGAAAGTAAGAAGATGTTTCAGAGCATATAGGAGTGCACTCAAAACATCTATCTATAACTCCTTAAAAATCAGCTTCCTAGAGTTGTGCAACTATCTCCATGCACTCCAAAACACCTTTTTATCTGATTTTAACAGCACTATCAGATACCACTGGAATACATCACTATTCCACCTTATATAGCGAGTTGCTTTTTTACACAGATATGGAATAAACCTAGAGCCTTAGAAATGAGCATCAACTAAAACTTGTAACAATTAATTGGAAAGCTAGTCAGGAAGCAATGAAATAAAACAGAAGAAGGCCACTATCACATGTATGGAAAGATTCAAAAGCACAGCTGTGTGATAGGTTTAATTCCTATAGCAATGACACTTCTGAGGAATGGAACTAAAGGGATATAAGACCACTACCAGTACGTAAATTTTCCCACAGAAAAGATAAGATGCTAATTTTATACTTATGAGTCAGAACATCATCATTTCAAAATTCTCATAGTTGTACAATATCATCATCATCATCTTCATTCTTCTGCTTCAGAAAAGACCTTGTTTACGTCATAGGTAAGAAACCAACATAGAGCCAAAGTTTTCCAAATAGATAAATAATTATTCAGGCTTAACTAATCATGCAAATTCCATATCTCTGACGCTTCCTGACCAGATAATGCATAGACAGTAATAAGAGAAGAGTTGTCATGGCAAGATATTCTGTTGTTACAAAGAATATTATTTGTATAGTGTGCTGGTCATAAGATGTTGTGGCTGACAAAGGCTTCCCTCCCTCCCCCTAAGTTGACCCATTGTGAAAGCTAGTTGGCATGTAGTTGCTATGGTCACCAAGACAATTTCACTGAATGTCACCAATGATTAAATATCAGTATTGGACATCACTATATTCAAATGTTTTGCATCTTTTCTAGCTATCAGTTGTGAATTCTTGAAGAACTATTCAGCCATGGGTAATTAAGTGTGGAGGAAAAGGCCTTGACACCATTCTCTTCATTTTAGAGTTCTGTAGCAAGCCATTTTCTGCTATCAATGTGCTATTTGGCAGTACTTCTGTATAAAATCCGCCAGTTATGGCCCTACCTGAACCGGGAGGCTCTCGCAACAGTCACTCGAGCCCTTGTGATCTCTAGGCTGGNATCTGCAGTAAGAGATGAGATTCCTTCGATGGACTCTGATGTATCCCTGGTAATCCCACTTCTGTTTGATTTCACTTGCTTTTATTTATGCATTTATCTAATTTCTACACCTCTCATCTCACTTAAGTGACTCTGATCAAGTCGGAGGAATTTATTCATCCAAGAGGTGAAGTTTAAATGATGTGGCTAAAGAACTGTTGCCCCCGTCTCGAATGGTATGACTGTTGTGTGTTTTAAATTATGTATTGTTTTGTGTCATTTTTTAAAAAATTTTTGTTTGTATCCCCCTTCCCTGGTTTGAGTTGTGAGCCGCCCTGAGTCCCCTTCGGGGAAAAGGGCGGCATATAAATAAAATAAACATTCAAACATACATTCAACATTCAATCTATGGGATCTTACTGGTCACTGGGAGGTATGTGTCAGCAGGCGGTCTCAAAGGTATAGTGTGGTTGTGAGTGTGGTTGTGTTCTTACCGATGTTTCACTACCAAATTACTAACACTGACGATGTTACCTTGTTTGGTAATGAAACGTCAGCCAAGCTCAGAGAGTATGAGAAAGTATCAAGGATCCCACTGTTCAATCCTGAGCTATAAATATTCTCTTCTGTTGGTACATATATTTTTCTATGCGCAATATTTCAAGAGAAGCACATGGGTTTCTAACTTTTGTGCTGGTAAGCGTGTACTTTGAAAGATAACTCATTTCAACCTGTATTTTAATTTCAGGAGATGTAAATTAAATTATTCAAGGAGTAAAGTGTTCAATCTGACCAGAGTAAATAGTATACAGGAAAAAAGAGCATCCTTAATTTATATTTAACAAATTCAGATAAATCTAGCAAATGTCAGCAATGTTTTGGGAATTGTGAGATGAGGTTATTGTTGAAGAACTGATGTAATATTAGAAAAAATCGTATGCCGTATCCTTTAAAAACAAGGATGCAAGATTTCCCTCTGGTGCATTGGCAGGAAGGAAGGCTGCATTCTGAAACCCACAGTGCAAGTTCCTTTTTTTTTTTATACGAACCTATTGCATAATGCAAAATGCAGCTCTATGAAAGACCTCAAGGAAAACATAGTTTATCAAGCAAAGATTCTGCAGTCAGAGTGTTCCAAGAATGAGGATAAATAATTTCTGATCAGAAACTGTCAGATCTGAGCAACTGAACTGGGTCTTTAAAAATCTTCTCATATATGTCAATGGAACAGATAAATAATTCTGCAGCAGAAAAAGGGAAACTACAATTCAACACTGCAGATAAAGCGGTTGGAATATTTCTTTCCATGCTAAAACGGATTCACTCCCTGCATCAATATATCAGTGAAATTAATTGCACCGCAGCAAGATCTAATCATGTCAAGCGATGTATTTCTCCCCATCATAAAAGTCTCTGAATGCTGCAGATTTTTGTGTTTCTTTGAATACAAAAGTCGGCTCTTTCTGAAGAAGTGTAATCTGTAGCAGCAAGCAAGGAAACTGAAGGAGTTCCAGGGGGAAACGCTCAAGCAAGGGAAGAGAAGGAGCTATCTTCTTGCTAGTTGCAGGATTTAATCCCATAAAATCATTGTTCTGTATGTTTGCAGAGTTTAATCCCATAAGGCTATACTGGCTGTGGAGCTTAATCCCATAAGGCCATTGTCATTGATCGGGGACTGTGCTCTGGAAAGCAATACAATATTTGAAAACTGTTCTCTGAGGGAAAGCGATAACAGCCTGTACTGTATTACACCCTTCCTCTCCTTCTGACATCTTAGTGAAGATAAATGCAGTTCATTTCCCAAGTATAGTATATAAATAACACTTTAATTACTGATCATAAGTTGTGATTTGCAGGGTTGAGATACCCTAATGTCTAAACTGCTGTAATATATTGTAAGGCAAGAGAATGGAGCAATCTATTCTTAAGGAAGCTACTGTAAGACTTCCTACAGCTTCCTGTGCATCTATGGCTTTGAATAACGCCGTGTACAATGATCTGACAATAGTCCATCGAGTCGCCATTTTGAATTTGAATTGAATTGAATTTATTATATTTCTATGCCGCCCTTTTCCCAGAAGGGACTCAGGGCGGCTCACAACCCAAGTCGTGGGGGGGGGNTAAGTCTAACTGCTATTGCTATTGCTAACTACAAATCAACGGTGACAATTCTGGGCTTGCACAGGAATGAGATAAACTGTATAGGTATCTTTTAATCTGTCTAAGATATCAAGTACTCCAAAATTCCTTTGAGAAACAACCTGATAGGCTGCAATCTAGATCATCTATGTTAGCATCAGTGGGTAACCCAAAGTAGAACTCTATGCAAGCATGCTAAATATAAAATAAAGACCAATCAAGCCATTTATGAAAAACTGAAAGCAAATAATAAGATAGGATAATCAAAAAAATATTGATTTTATTTCAGCCAGAAGATTATAAAGGTAAAGGTTCCCCTCGCACATATGTGCTAGTCGTTCCCGACTCTAGGGGGCAGGGCTCATCTCTGTTTCAAAGCCAAAGAGCCAGTTCTGTCCAAAGATGTCTCCATAGTCATGTGGCCAGCATGACTAAATGCCTAAGGTGCACGGAATGCTGTTACCTTCCCACCAAAGGTGGTTCCTATTTTTCTACTTGCATTTTTACATGCTTTCGAGCTGCTAGGTTGGCAGAAGCTAGAAGCTAACAGGAGCTCACTCCGTTACGCAGCGCTAGGGATTCAAGCCGCCAACCTTTCTGATCGACAAGTTCAGCATCTAAGCCACTGAGCCACCGATCAGCCGCTGATTATACCTTGTGATAAAACGGGAGTTTCTTCAATGCCCCAACTTCCATTGTAGTGCCCCAACTTCCAAGAGAGAAGAAGGAGACATTTGAAAACTGGAAACCCCATTCTACCTGCTGAACAAATGCTAAAGACCCTCTGGGAAAAGGAACCAACCCAACATTCAATGGGCTTGTTTCGCATGTTCTCAGATTCTGTGTACATTCCAAGTTTGTTTTTTGGCCGGAGTAAGTGATGGATTTGCTGTCTAGTCATTATGGGATTTGACAACGTCATTTTAGAACCTTAGTTACTAAGATATCAATAATTAAATGCTTTCAGTTCACACTTTGTTCTTGCAGATACTCGGCCATTTATCTCTGTACTGCAAAGAAGCTAATGGCATAATGGGCAAAACATCAAGAATAATTAAGGAAAATAGGCGGGGGGGGAAGCCTGCATAGGACTCCTTTGGAAGGAAACGCAGTACTGATCCATGTCTCCCTTCTGAAATATTATACTTTGCATTAGCTACAAATTTTCAATTATAGCATTTTTCTTGTTCATACAATATCTCCAAACTGGACTCCAGGCTCCAAGAGAAGCCTTTTTAAGCAACATTATATTCAGTTTTCATTTATCAGCCTTTATTTCTTTTAAGCACAATCAACTCTTCATAAGCATTCTTTAGATATTGCATAAATGTATACAGCAAGGTAATGAGATTGTATTCATTGTATAGGTTTTTTTTTTNATACACACAAAGCTTCTCTTATGCCAAATGTCACATGATAGACCGTGACGTGAATTTTGCAATGGACCTCACACTGGTCGTCTCTGCTGAAGCTGTGTTTGATTTCTTCTTTCACACTGCAAAATTAAGATTGCATGGGGGAACCAGACCAACATTCCATTTATCATCCAAGAGGTGGCTGATTCCTCACCAAGATGAAACAACTAACCACTTTAACTTGTGGCAATGCAAACGTGGATCAGTGCATTAAAAATGTCATGTAACTTTCCATTTAGATGATATTTGACTGACAATTGGTTGTTAGAGAACCATGGTTATCTAAAGTGGAATTGCTGTTTTTATCTAGGCCAGGGGTTGGCAAACTGAAACACTCAAAGAGCCATTTGGACCCGTTTCCCACATAAAGGAAAACATTGGGAGCCACAAAGGTCCTAACCAGAAGCCTCCTGTTCAATTCTAGGGCTGACCGGAAGTTCAGTTCCCCGACCATAGAGTCTCCTCCTAGCGCAGCATATTTTTTCCTCTAGCTGTCATAACCAAAAGCCCTATCAATTGTGGAGACAACTGGTAAACCCTCCTCTTGCCATAGAGTCTTCTCCTGGCAGACTGTGCTTCTCTCCCTGCCCCTCCATTGGAAGCTTCTCTCAAAATTGTGGTGCTGACCGGTGACGAAGCCACAGCAGAGGGAGGAAAGAGCCACATGTGGCTCCAGAGCCGCAGTTTGCTGACCCCTGATCTAAGCTACTCCAGAAAAGAACACTTAAAGCAGCTTATTTCTGAGGCAGCCTGCAAAAACTGGGAATAGCTGGGTAATATTGATATATTTGGGAATTAAAGCATAATGCCCAGTGTAATTTCAACATGTTGGGTTTCACTCTATAGGCTAATTCACTGAGACTGATCTTCAATGGTCAAAAACCAACAGAAGAGAAACTGTAGTAGGCAAGAGATAGCACTAAAAGAAAATAGTGTATGACGAAAGATCAAATTAGCTTCAAACCTGCCTGCCTATTCTGGGGTAGTGTTCTACTGGTTTATGAGAAACTACTTTCATTTTGGGTGCAACTACAGAGCCGAGGTGGCACAGTGGTTAAATGCAGCACTGCAGGCTACTTCAGCTGACTGCAGTTCTGCAGTTTGGCTGTTCAAATCTCACCGGCTCA